ATCTAATGCCTGTCGCTGACAGCTACCGACGCACCGTCACTTTGCACCAAAGGTAACAGACATATCATATAACATAACGAAGATGACACGCAAAGAGAAAGATGGCCATACTACGAATGAATGAAACGTTAACATATGATAAAGACTGCAGCATATCACGATGAAAATTTAAGGCAGCTAGACTAATCCACCCATATGTGCGAAACGAATTCCATTCACTAGGACCAGTATATTCACCACGACACCAAGCACAGTTTACTAACGGTCACTGCATCACAATCCGTTTACGCAACCGGCACGCAGTAGTTCCTAACTTTGTTGAAGCGAAGAGTCACATCAAGCATTAGCAGTTACTTGAAATTTAATTAAACTAAGGTTTTACACCGAGGATGTAGCAAAATAATCGTTTTTAACAATTTCGATATAATAGCGCAACGTTGCTCTGGAACTCGAACATCCGAATCTATTTGTGTCTACCGTAACCAAAAATTCATTCTGTCAAGCCGCAAAACAGCGCGCTCCGATTCTAGTACCGCACATGCACATTGGAAACAAATATCTGATTGTCATGTCCCCAGTGAAGAGTTGTAGCACGTATAAAACTTTTGTTTTACGTACGATCACAGAGTCAGAGTACACTCGTCGAACATTTGCCCTATTAGCAGTAGCATATTGCTGCAAGGAAAACTATCACTGGGCTCATGATCTGTCAATTCAACCGACCTCTGTCCAGCAATGTGCGAAAACGCTTTCGCTGATTTAGTTCGAACCATCTCTAACATCATTTCGTTAACATAATGAGCGAAGATGAGGGAATGAGGCAGATTTCTAGATTCTGAATTCTGCTTGATGGAAATGTGTGATAGATTCTGTTAGATTACTGAAACAAAGATATATATGCCCATTTTATTTGAATGATTATGCGTTTAATGACTCAGAAGGAATCGCGTTTGTAGGGCTGAGTGGCATGATGGCAGAATACTTTTTACTTCTGTGTAAACATTGAACAGCTATCCCAAAGGGCAGATCTTATACATTCAGATTTTTTGTAGTTGACTGCAGTCAGAGAGTGCAAATTTTGCAAACAATTGTGCATATTTCATGGCAGCAATGATTCTTGTTCGCGTGGTTGCCATTGCAGTCTCATGTAGGAAACGTTCACTGATAAAATAACAAATAATAAATTTGATTTATTTAATAAGACTGTTCATTAACATGAAGCAGAAGCAGAATCATCGATACTTTTAAATTACCATTAGGAGTTTATAAGATGCATAAGCTCTGCATCGCGTAATCTAATAATAAAAGGCTTCTTACATCCAGACGTTGCCTTCAACGATTATGCATTATATTATTGGTTGTATGGCTTTACAGGGAGATGGATCACCAACCATACACAATAAGTCAAAATTTACTGATATTGCGGCGAAACAATTGTTAGTGCCAGAAAGCTGAGAAAAGCGTTTAACGTTTGTTTGAATGTCAACAAATGTAATCATACATAAAAGATAGTAATCTTAATCTGTCTGGCTATGTGAGATCGTAAGTGTCATCAAGGTGCCAAATCGATTCTTGCACAGATGCATTTCATTATGAATTCTTGGATATTTGGTTGTAAAAACATTATTTCACAAACGCTGAGCAAGTGATAGTGCTTTATTTTTTGTAGAATATTCTTTCATGCTAGAGCAATTTTTAAATCCAATTTCTTGAGCCATTCACTTCTCATACTGTCTGCATGCAAACACCACTTTCTCATTTTGCAGTTCACTACCTCAGATCAAATTATTCGAAATTTGCCTCATAATTCATGGAATCGTCTTCCCTAGGTCGTCAATTCGAGGGAACTTATTTTACTTGCGTATGCCCTTATCTTGTAAATCCGCAGAAAGGTGAAATAGTTCATTCTTGTCTATAGTGTCAAAAACCGATAATTTGTTTGTGAACCCGGCGATTTCCTGATATACATATAATGTCGAGATAAAATTCATGCCCTTGGCCGGTTGCAGTTAGAATGAATCAACTGTTCGTGTTTGTCTTCTGTTTCTTGTTGCTGTTGAATGATTAACGTTGGACTTTTAGTTTTAGTGGATGGAGCTAAATCCATGATTATTAATGATTATTAATTTTTAGCTACATGGAAGACTTCGCAAGCCAAAGACGTTCACTGTAAACTAAGCTCATTCGCTGTATTCGAAACGCCATGCAATCTGTAGCTTCTGTGATGATCACTCTTTGCTTGTTTCTGTTTTTCAAATTCTGTTTTGTGTTGACATTTTCGCGTTTATCCTTACC